TAATAAGAATGGCCTATGTTTATCACAAGAACAAAAACACATAAATCATGTCCTCAGTATTCCATTCTGCCCACACTGAACATTCTGTCCTGCTAGTGTCAAAGAAAGCCAAAAATCAATTACAGTTCTTCAGCAGACACAGATTCAGTTTTTATCATTTCATGACATATTTAGGTTTCACTGTAATGCAGAACACTTTATGCTGGCACACAAATATTAAAAATAGGACAACACAGCCAGCCTTGTAATCTCACAGTAGTGTGTCACCCTACAAAACAGAACATAATTCAAAATTAGAATATGGAAACCACAACATGGGCTACAGAAAGGCTGTCTTTGCTGCATATGTAACATATTAGCCTACTGCTAATACATATGATCAAGACGCCCTCCAGTGACTGATTCCAGAAAAAAATACGGCCAACTACAGTTGAACAGATGAAGAACTCCTTTAGCTCAACAGGTAGAGGTGTGTGCTTTTTGATGCTCAAATCCCTGGAGATCAATCCCCAGTGAAGACCATGGAGTCTGTAACTAATTCTGGCTAAGGTATGTCACACATCTAAAGGGTGAGGTATTTATTTAATCGTGAGGACATGTTGATTATTCTTCATCCAGCATCAGCTTTGGATGGAACTGAATATCATATCCTATAATAATAATAAGTATCATAATACTGAACGCTAGAAGCAAAAATAGGTAATTTTAATAGTATGGAATGCAGCGACCTCTAAAAACCTAATTGACAAGTGGCAAATTCAAAAATGATAAAACAAAAATACTTCTACACGGCAATTCGTCTGTGGAACTCATTGTCACGTCATGTCACTGAGGCCAATTAGCAAAATTCAGAGGGGATGGATGATTATATGTTTAACAATATATTTCAGAGTTCTAGCTAATGCTAAAATAATTAAAATGCTTTGGAGGGATATGAAAACCTCATACTTCAGGGCTTAAGCCACTCTCTAACTATATAAAAAGTATGAAGAGATTGGGGGTGGGTGGGAAGGAAAGAGTACCTCACACTGAGGTTTCCTGAACTTTTCTATAAAGCATGTGGTGTTGGCTACTGTCAGAGAGACAGGATGGACCAGGTGTCTGATCTATTATCGCAATTCCTACACAGCTTGCCAGAGATCTGAGAAGAAATGTTTTAGGAAGATCAATTTTGGTATTTTACTGAACACAGAAGCATGTTGTATGATTTTTTTATTTAGTCAAATTAGCTCATTCTTACAGTAGGAGTCATTCACTCAGAAAGTGTAAATGATTCTCCAGCCTGTATTTGATTTATGGGTACACAAAGAGCTAAGAGACTGGTTCAGTGGTCACATTGTACTCAATACAAAAATATCAACCTCAAGAATGATCACCCTCTATCACTATCAATTTTTAACCACGTGGTAAGAAGGCGAGAAGGAGAAGCTGAATACAGATTAAGTTGGCTAAATTTGATAGGCCTAGAAGTGGCAGGATACAGCAGAACAGATTCTGAAGTGTGGGAAATCACAAAAGGAAGAGAAGCACATAAGCTTATTTTTCATTTGAATTTACAGTTTTCTGACTTCACATAGCATACAGGCTGGAAAGGAAAATATTAGAAAAGCTGAAGTCAGAACCAAAGGCAGCTTTGACACCCCCAAATTTTACATCGTTGAGTCAGGAGAAAAGGGATGTAAGAGAGAAAAATACAGAGGCTGTAAATAAACAATATACACTTTCACTTGCTCAAATGTTGACAGTTGTAATTTGTGGACAATCCATTTTGTAATAAGAGAGGAGACATCAGACTTCACACCTTGGCTTGTATTTTGTTCCAAGAAATGAGCTGGTTTTGAGATTTCATTTGGTCTTTAAAGTAGATAAAATTAGCATCTTTAAAAACTATTTAAACCCCTTTCTAAAATGCTAAATACTAAGAGAAAGAAGAAATTCAAGACATGCTTAGCTTTACACTATCTTTAATGGCATCAGTCCTATGCCCATCATGAGGGTTTCACAGATTCTTTGCCACAGAATCCAACCCTCAACATAAAACTTCCTTTTTTTAAACAATTCTACTTCTAACCCTTTTGGGGTGGGTCTTCAATGCACAGTTAACCTGGGTCATTGGTAGGATCCTACCAAATTCACAGCCATGAAAAACACGTCACAGAGTGTGAAATCTGGTCTCCCCCCGTGAAATCTGTTCTTCCCCATAAAATCTGGTAGTTTGTGTACTTTTACCCTAAACTATAGGCAGTGTTTCTCAAACAGGGGGTCCCAATCCAAAAGGGGGGGGGGCCTTGGTATTGCCACCCTTACTTCTGTGCTGCCTTCAGAACTGGGCGCCTGGCCAACAGCTGCCAATTTCCAGCTGCCCAACTCTGAAGTCAGCCAAAAGTATGGGTGACAATACCACGAACACCCCCCCCCCCCCCACACACACACACACACACAATAGCCTTGCGACCCCCTTTTGGGTCAGGGCCCCGTTTGAGAAACGCTGACTGAAGGGCTTTACATGTTTATATTTTACTGTTTTAAAATACATATTCATGCTTTGTTACGATATTGTGAAATTTAAGATTTAAATAGCTGAA